AGAAAAATTATTGAAAGTTGGAGTGGGGAGGGTATGTTTTATGACCCATGTCAACCCTTAGAACGGCTGGGAGATCATTTTCTCCCTTGAGCTCAACCCCCAGTACTCAAGAAGGCTCTTAGGATCCCAGAACTATGATCTCCTGTGCAGGGCTGTGCCCAAGAAATCAGTAAAGTCCAAACATGGCAACTTTACAATGGGAGGATTTCAACATCCAGTATGGCTGGCTGGGGAATTCTGGGAGTTGAAGTCCACCCATCTTAAAGTTGCCATTTGCAGTAAATGACTCCTATGTGATCTTGCAGACGGGAAGATGCTCTGAATGACAAATTTTCAACCAGTCTTATCTGAGTCCTCAAAGTATGACCCCAATTGAGCCCAAAATCTCCATCGCTAAGGAAGACAGTTGTTAAATGAGTTTTGGACCCATTTTCTTGCCATCGTTGTTAGGTGAATCAATGCAGTTATTAAGTTAGTAGTTGCAGTGGGCAAGAAAGGTTGTAAAACTGTCTTGCTTAGCAATGAAAATTTTGGCTCGTTTATGGTCTTAATGTCGAGGACTATCTGTATTCCTCCTCGACTTGTTCAAAGATAGACAGCCTTATTCTCAATTCCTCTAGTTTATTTAATTCTTATTTATTCATCACATTTAGAAACTGCCCAGCTGCCTCACAGAGGGACCCTGGGCAGTGTACAAATGAAATGCCGTGTTGCGATTGTCACCCTGGCTTCAAGTCAACTGTAGGAGCCGTGGGATGGCTGCCTTCCAGCCTCAAATGTGGGTGATCTCCCTTATTAGCTTCTCCGATACAAATGGCTCATTACCGTCCCTTGAGGAGGGATTGTTCCTGGGTTTTAATTAACAGAATAAGGCTTAAATAACCGTATCATATCTCCCTGGAGATGCCATGAAAGAAGGCTATAGTTTCCCCATCCGTCTTATCGCAACAACAGAAAGCGAAGCTCATCGCGCAAACGAGAAAGGAGGTCACCTTCCTTGGCTAAATCTTTCGTTTCCTTCTTTGGTTCCACATTTTTCAGCACAAGGTGCATTTGAAGTAGCAACAGAAAGAAGGAGGCGAGAACTGTTCCAGAAGTGCCACAAATGATTTATTATTATCCAATGATTTATTTCTGCAACCCCCCCTCCACATTGCTACGAAACAAAACTTTCATCGGGGGCGAGCAGCTTTCTGATCAGCACCCTGTGATAGTCAACTCGGCATTCTGCACTGTTCGCTTCTCTCTGCCTCGCGGGTTTGCATTTGATGAAAAACTTTATTTATTTATTTATTTTATTCCATTCCATTCCATTCCTATAGCTGCTCAACTCAGCCAAGCAATTCTAGGCAGCTTACAATTCTAAAATTATAAAGCAATTAAAACCATTAAAAAAAAAAAACGTTGCAAGAATAGAAAAAAAAATCCACAAAATAAATAAGAACAAACGAAGTAATACTTAATCAACTAATAGTAAAGCCAAGAAACCGTGTGTGTGTGTGTGTGTGTGTGTGTGTGTCGGGGGCCTTTAGCAAATTCTGAGCCCCAGGTACGGGTTCACACAGCCAAGATTTTAAAGCCTTGTGAAAGGCCAGCAGAGTTGGGGCTCTTCTGATCTCCGAGCAGGGAGAGAATTCCATCCGGCAGGAGCCCATCCTGTTATTCCTGCCAGTCAATACTCTTTGGCTGACAGAATCTGCAGCACTGCCAATCTGCTGGATCAAATTGGATGGGTAGATACTCTTGGAAAAAGACAGTCCTTCATGTAATCCGGTTCAACCATGTAAGGCTTTAAAGGTGACCACACCAGTCTCTTGCATTGTACCTGGAAAGGCACCAGTAGCCAGTGCAGCTCATGGAATAGCGGTGTTACAAGTGCTGTGTAGCCAGCACCATTTATTACCCATGCAGTCACATTTTTGCAGCAGTTGGAGGAGGAGGAGAGGGAGAGAGAGGAGGAGGAGGAGGAGGAGGAGGAGGAGGAGGATAGTGCCATAGTGAAAGCGCTGGGATGGCACTGGGTTCAAGTCCCACCATCCTAAGCCAAAAAATCTCCTGGGATGACTTTGGGTTAAAGCCTCTTTCTTGGCCAAATCAACCTGGGGTTGTTGTGTGGTGAAGAAAAGGAGGAAAGAGCATATACGCCATCTTGAGCCCTTGAATTAAAGGTGGGACATAAATCTAACACTTTGTGAACAAATAAGGAAACAAACTAATAAGAAGATAAATTTATGGCAATGGCACCTGGAATGTTGATGCCCATCATAATATTACCAACAATGCTTCCAAGGACTCCTATCTATCTGTCTTTCGGTCTGTCTAATCATCTATCTAGGATGTGGTTTTCCCCTCCAGATAAATTGTACGTTCAAATTTTCTGCCCACAAATTTGGTGTAGAAGCATGAAAAAATTTATCTTCTGCCTGAACTGAGTCTAGTTTCCCTATGAAAAGCGAGCTGGTAGTTTTAGAAAAAAAAGTCCCTTTGGCTGCAATCTTGTGCAGGCTGAACTCAGCTCAGGATTACATCTGATTGATTGATTGATTGATTACATGCCATCAAGTTGTTGTCGACTGTTGGCAACCACATAGATTTTCCCCATGAGGGATTATAAATAAGGGTTTATGTAATTCACTTTTTAAAAAATGAAGCATGGGAGCCAGTATATTCACCCAGACCCTTCAGTTCTACTTCTATTGGCCCACTTTCACTTCTGATGCCCATATCAACTCATTTAGAGTGTTTAAAGCAAAATCGTTTATCATTACCTACCTCTGGGAGGTTTAGTCCTGGAATTTCCTAGTGCTCCTCTGTCTAAAGACTGTCTGCTTATCTTTTTAAGATCAGGCAAGTTCTTATTGTATTTATTTTTTGCTTGCTTCTTGCCTTTGTTGTTTTTATAAGTAACTCAAGGAGGCAAACATATCTGATACTCCTCTCTCCTCCTGTTTTCCCTGCAACAATAACCCTGTGAGGTGGGTTAATTGCTTAAGGGGGGGTGGCTAATGTAGCTCAGCCTAGTGATTAATAAGCAAAAAGGAGATATATTTTATTTATTTACTTATATTTATCCCACATTTATTATTATTTTTACAAATAACTCAAGGCGGAGACCGTATCCGACATATGTGTCCACAGGTCATGGTTGTCCCCTTTCCTTGAAGATGTTTCACTTCTCATCCAAGAAGCTTCTTCAGTTCTGAATGAATGATAGAGAATTGGAGGATTTATATTCCTCGCAGTCATCTGGTTGTTAGCAACCCTGTGAAGTGGATTGACTGAGAGAAGGACTGGCTCAAAGTCACCTAACTAGCATCTGTGCCTAAGGTAGGACTAGAACTCACAGTCTCCCAGTTTCTAGCCTGATGCCTTAATTTCTAATCTTAACCACTAGACCAGGGGTATCAAACTCACATCGTCACGGCAGTGTCATGTGACGTATCGGAACTTTCCCCCCCTCTTTGCTAAACTGGGCGTGGGTGTGGCCAGAATGGGTGTGGCCAGAATGTGATGCATCTGGCCCGTGGGCCGGGAGTTTGACAGCGTAGTCCTGGACCAAACTATAGGTGGCATTTCTTGGTGATTCTCTTTGCTGTTCAAGTATTAACCAGGACAGAGACTGCTTATCTTTACCAGACCCGGATAAAATATGCCTGTCAATGTGAATGAGTTTGGCTATGTAGAAAGCATGAGTGGGTGCAAGAAATAAAGCAAAGAAATTGGTTTGATAAGACCTGCGGGCTCCTTTGCTCAGAATTATCCTGAGAGTAGTTCCGAAAACTGGACAAGGTGCAGAAAAGGTTAATCAGGAAGTTCAAGGAATTTAGACAATTTTGTGGAGAAAAAAAGCAAGGAATTGGGAATGCCTTTTGAGGGGAGGGGGAGAGAAGAGAGTCTTATTCAAGTACAGGAAGTCCTTGACTTATGGCTGCAGTTGGGACCACAATTTCTGTTTCTAACCTAGGTGAGTTGTGCCTTTCTTTACAACCTTTTTTTGTTTTTTGGGCAGGGTTGCTAAGTGAATCACTGCAGTTGTTAAGTGAATCTAGTTTCCCCCTTGATTTTGCTTGTTGGAGGCCAGCTGGGAAGGTCGAAATGGCAATGACACGCCCAAGAAAGCTGCAGCTTTTTGATCATGTGACCGTGGGAATGTTGCAACTTTTATAAGTTGGTCCTAAGTCATTTTTCTCATTGCCATTGTAACTCGGAACAGTTGTTAAGCAAATGGTTGTAAATCAAGGATTACCTCCTGTAACCGAAAAGTTGCCACTCAGAAGAAGGTCAGGACTGGCTGACCTTCCTATTCAGCAGGCCACAGAATCGGTGCATTTAAATTACAGGAAGGCCGATTGGAACGCAACGTTAAAATCAAATGACCAGCAGCCGCCTTTGCTCTGTCTCCCGGATTCCTGCGTTGTAAAGAAGCCGCGGAAAGGGGAAAAGGGCTCTTGTTAAACGCAGGCGATCAAGCCAATGCTCCCTTCCGCGCGACGGCTCCCGGATCGAGCTGCCGAGTTGAGGATGACCCCAGCCTCCGCCACTTCAAGGTTCGGGCTCGATCCCGCTGCCCACCTTTGCCCGAGGGTGGCATTCCTCCTTTCTTCGCGAAGGCGGGGTTCAGAACTCCGAAGGGCGCGCGCGTCCACCTCGCCGGCGCCTCCAAAGTTTTATCCAGCCGCTGGTTGCTCCTCTCCTCCGTGCCAGGGCGAGCTGGGCTGGGGTGGGGGCAGAGAAACAGGCCGGGCGGGCGCCAGCGGCAAGAGGCCGCCAGGGGCCGCTGCCTCCCAGCTGCAGCGCCGCCGGAGCGCTCGGGGCGCCCTGCGAAGGGGGCGGCGGGCGGGCGGGCAGGGCGCAGAAAGAGCGCGGCGCGAAAGAGGCGGCGCGTGAGGAGATCCCCGCCTCTCTCTTCCCTTTTTGGACCCAGCCGGCGAGCCAGCAGCCAGACAGTCCGACGGGCAGCCGGTTGGTCTCTCGACATCCCACCAGGGAGGGCAACCCGCCGTCCAGCATGCCGAGGGCCAGAGGCGCGGTAGCGAGCGGACAGACTGCTTAGAGCGCTGTGGAACTATTGGCCCGGCTTGGCGAAAGTCGCCCAGCCCACTGGAAGTCCGCCTGTCTTGGAGTCGGAGAAAAGCGGTAAGTGCGGAGCTTGTTCGCAGGAAGGGAGACCTTCCTGGAGGGGCCAGAGGGTTGTTCCTGGAGAGCGGGGAAGACCCGAGAAGCGGGCTTCGCCGCGGCGTTCCCCAATCGTCTCCCGGCTGATTCAAAAGTTTGCTCCGGCGGCTGGCAAGTTAAATGCCTCCTTATCTGGTCGGTTCTCTTCGGAGGAAACGCGCCACTGAATTTTTCTGACTTGCCCAGAGGGAAAGAAGCCTCTAGGGCTGATTTAAGACCAGCGTTCAAGCGAAAGTAACCTGCGGAAAAAGGGGACGCTGTCGATCCTTCTCCGCCAGGTCTCCAAACCCGACAGGAAATTTAGGGATGGCAAGACGGCCAAGTTTGAATCACTCGCCCGTCGATCGAGCGGATTCCAAAGACGAAGCTGTCTGCTATGAGAGAAAAGAGGGAAGGGGAGAATTTTAAATTGGTTTCAGTCGACGATTTTTGGAAAAAAAAAAATTGAATGATACCTGCCCTCTTCCTGGCCGGTTTAGGGATTGAGCCTTCTGGGCCGCCTCCACAAAAGACGTTTAATTCATATATTCCTCCTTTTCAAAAGACTCAGAATCTAGAGCTCCACCACAGGGAGCAATGCGTCTTCCTAAGATTCAGGCTGGTTAAGGTTACCTCTCCTCCAAAATAATTTATCATCAAAATCAAAATCATCATTTTGGGGTGAATGTAGATAAGCCTTTTCCCTTCCGCACCGTAAGCCTATCGGAGTGCGTTGAACAGTGGAGATGAAAGCAAACTAGAGTTCCGATTTTATTTTATTTTCTTGAAGATGGAAACTGAGGAAACTAGAGGACAGCCAACTGACCTTTTGTTAAACCTGAGCAACAGGTTTAGAGTCTCCCTTCCCCCTAATAATTTGAGCATAAGTGTCTGATGGAAGAAATCCAGGGCATTTTGGCCTAAGCTTTTCATGCTTTCTTTTTAACCCTTCCTCCGCTCCCCGTTGATTTTTTCCCCCCTTCGAGTCGAGTTTTTAAAAAGGCTGAAGGATCCAGTTTGATTCCCTGCAAGATTGATGAGTAACTCCCGAAAGACAGGGCTTCTAGCGGTATAAACACTGCAGCATCCAAAGAGGATTTGTCAACACTAAAAATAAACAGACCCACAAATGTCTTCAACAGGCACATGTCCAGTTTCAACGATATTTCAAGAATGATGCGGGCAGAGTGAGTCGCTGGCACTTCTATTCTTTTATTTTTAAAACCCCAAGCGCTGACCTTGGTGCTGAAATCCGCTCTCCCGCTCTGTCTCTTCGGAAGCCACCGAGACACACACACACACACACACACACACAGAGAGAAATCTTCCCCTGTGTCCGACCCCGTCCTAAACTGGCCTGGCTGGCAGAGAAGAGGGGTGGGGGGAGGAGGCAGGGAGACAGAAGGCGAATATTTCTCAACACGTAAAAACTGATCCGTGTTTTGGGCCTGGATAGAGATGGAGCTACAGTCCAGAGTCAGTTGGGTGTAGTGGGGAAAAGTGCTGGCTTAGACAGAAAAGCCTGCTGGGGGATTTTGGACCAACCACCAGGAGATGGTGAGTTCTAGTCCTTCCTTAGGTAGGGCAGCCACTGGGTGACTTTGTGCCAGTCATTCTCACCTAACCCACCTCACACAGTTATTTTGGGGGGAAACAGGAGAAGAAGGAGTATCAGGTATGCTCACCCCTTTGAGTTACTTATAAAGGCAGGACAAAAGGCATCAATTCAAAACATGAAACACACCTGTAAATAGCTCAAAGGCCAATCCAGGTGTGGAGGAATCAGGTAGTAGAAGAAACGTGTTCCTGGGTTGATGCTGCAGAACTAAGAAGTCATTTCTTAATTCCTGGGGAAGTCAAAGCAAAGCACCTCCAGGTTGTGCTGGGAGAGAAAAAAAGCTTGGTCTGGAGGTCCTTTGCAAAGCAAAAGGGGAAAGGAAACTCCTGGCTGCTTGGGAATCAAAGATGCCAAGACTATGTGGCATTTTCCAGGCCATATCCTGAATTGGGTTAAGCCAGCACTGTTTGGGAAAGGAGCCTCAAGGGTTGAAATGAGCCTCCTAATCTTCTCTAGGTCTTAAAGCTTCCATTTTGAGAGTCAAACCTCCCCAATGTCTCTCCAAATGCCCACCCAATACACCATTTATTTTGGCTGATCCAGTCTGGATCTTGGCTGTACTTTTTGCACCCTGATTCTGGAAAAACGATGGTTGTCATTTCTTGTCCTTCCCCTTCCTCTTCTTCTAACCCTGTTTGCATCCCATCCTGTTTATTTAGACGACCAGTTTTTATTACTCACTGAAATACTGGCCTGGGTAGGAGTTGAGATATTTTTAGAGCTGCGCATGAAAAGATTTCAGCATGAAAGCTTGAATTGGTTCAACCTGGCAGGTCAGAGTTAATGCGAGGAATAATATTAACTCACATGACATCTAAGAGATAATTACATGTGCACTTTTATAAGGAAACTATTTTCTATCCCTCTCTCACTTTCCCCATTTTTTTTTAATGTTTAGCAAATAATTAGCAAACATGATGCCTTTTATCCTGAGCAAAACATTTGGGGCCACCCAAGAAAGAATTAAAAATGAGAAGTACTCTTAGAGCCATTGATTGTGCTTCTTTGCACATGTTTGCATGTTTATTATGCTGTTCGGAGCCACAAAGCTGGAAAGGAAACTAATCAGTGACATCCTCAAGATCAATAGCTTTTATCAGATTGACAAAAGCTGTGTCAAGTTGTCACGATATAAACTCCACTACTTTTGAGTGTCCAATTGTTATCAAAATGCATATGCAAAAGGGACAGAGTTGGCATTCTGAGAATATGACTCTGCCTTCCGCATGTACCCCCCTTCCCAGGGCAATGTAATGATTAGTCGGCCAGACAGGAACATGAGATTAAATTCCCATGCAGGCTATAAACTTCACTGGGCCAATTATGCACGATTAATGTACTTCACAGGATGGTTGGGATGATAAAATGAGGACAGATGGGATAGACGCTAGAAAAAGTAACCGTATACACTTATTAAATGTGCATGGAGGATGAGTAGTTATTGGCAACTAATTTTCTCCTTATTTTTCATCCCCGTTTCAGAAGAGTCCAAGAGCAGTAAAAAGGAACAAAGCATCTTTATTATGGTTTATTCGATTTAGCTGATCCTATTTTTCTTTCAGCTGCTCAATATAGTATAAACCCAATAACTTTGCCTATTTTTATTTCTTGTTGAGGGGATAAGGAAAATTGCTGTTTGACTCAAGATTGCCCTGAAAACTCCGAGACTGAGGTAGGAACTGAACCCAGATCTCCATAGAATTAGTGTTAAGGTCTGCCTGTAGAAAGAAATCTGCTCCTCCCTGTTTTGGTACCATCACTGGCTAATGGGGAATATATAACCAGGCAGATTAGTAACAATCCTTCTAGGCTAATAGCTTTTTATGCACTTTGCAAAGCTGAGAATATTTAAGTGATGGAGAAATGTAAGTGAACTCATGATTGTTTAATGGTGGCTGGCACCCAGCCCCAACCATGGGTTATCCTTCTGGATTTGCTTATACATTTTCAATACAGTATTTATATCTTTAAGGGCTATGGAAAATTCCCTATCTCCCCTCATTTCCTGTGATACAAATATATAAAAGCTGTTTCTCCCTAACTTGGTTACTGAATGTGTGAATTAACTTCTTGGGGGAAAGAATGCATTTTAAGGGTTGAAGAAGGACCAATTTATATGGTATTTTGGGGTGCTCCTAAAATAAGAATTGCAAGTTTTCTGTTGATATTGAAGATGTGGCTGAGATGTAGGTTGGTTAAACCTACTCTGAGCAATACAGCAATACTGATATCTATGGCCTAACAGCCATTGTATTTGTTCATTATTTCTTGAAAATTGCATAACTGGATAAACTGCTTAAAATCTGCACATTCCATATGTTTTAGGATGCAAACTGGATGCAGTATTTAAAGTGCGGTCTTTTTCTGCCTTGGTAAGACCATACTTGGAATACTGAATCCAGTTGTAGTCACAGTACAAAAAATAAAAATCTTGAGACCCTAGAAAAAGTGCAGAGAAGAGCAACAAAGATGATTAGGGGGCTGGCAGCTAAAACATATAATGAACAATTATAGGAACTGGGTATGTCTAGTCTAACTAAGAGAAGGGGTAGGGGTGACTTGATACCAGTATTCCAATATTTGAGGGGTTGTCAGAGAGAAGAGGGGGTCAACCTACTTTGCAAAGGCCCGATGGCAGGAGAAGAAATAACAGATGGAAACTTATCAAGGAGAGAAGCAACCTAGAACGAAGGAGAAATTTCCTATCGGTGAGAACAATTAACCAGTGAAATAGCTTGCCTCTAGAAGTTTTGTTATTCTGTTAAACTCTCCCAGCATCACAAAGTTGATCCCTGAAAGTGTCTCAAAGCCAGGGAACACAACAGACTTTAGTCTAGGGTTCTTCAACAAAATGCTTTAGACATCCCTTCCTTCTGCAAACCAGCTTTAAAATGATGGGAATACTGAAGAGGCAACCCACCCTCCAGCCCCAACCCAAAATCTGCTGCTTAGGTTAGATCAACAGCATCATGCTGAAGACATCAGCCTTGGTTGAGATTCTTTAAATAGAGCAGAAGGCAGCAAAGATGATGCTGGCTGGGGATTATGGGAATTGCTATCCCTCCAGATTCTCCCAGTCTGGAGAATGCCAGTAAACTGAATAATATGATGTTGGGTCTGAGCAAACTGAAAATCAGGAACTGAGTCGGAGTGCTACTATTTTTGCTTTCTTGTGAATTTATTCATATATTTAAATAGGAGACTTTAACCCCTTATCTGGTTTCCTGATGCAAATTACTTCTCATGCAAATTATTGTTCTTTATGACAATTTCTACAACAAAATGGTTTGCTCTTGGTTAACAGCTTTAATCGTTCAGTTTGCCTGAAAACTTTATATTGCTTAAGTTCAGTTTTGGATATAGA